AGGAAGTCTTTCTGTATTAGGACATAGAGAGCTTGCTGCTACACGCCATCGCATTGTCACAAGTCTCATGATTTATTTAGCTGGTCTCCCACTGATAGGCATTTAGGTCATTCCCACTATTTGCTTTTATAAACAATGCTGTATCAGTGTTCTCATGCATAGTTTGCACAGGTGCAAATATTTTAGTCGGAACTAAAGGAAGATTATCAGGAGCTGGTTCAAGCAGAGGGTGCAGTATACAAGAGCTGAACCCTCAGCAGGATCCCTAAGCAAGGCTAAGCGAGGAAACGTGATGAGGGCTGTTTGTAAAAGTGATTCCTGGCAAGGCACAGTGGTTCACGCTTGTAATCCCAGCACTTTGGGAGGCCAAGGGAGGATTGCTTGAGCTCAGGAGTTTGAGACCAGACCGGGCAACAAAGCAAAATTCGTCTTTACAAAAAAATGTTATAGACTAGCCGGACATGGTGGTATGTGCCTATAGTCCCAGTTACTCAGGTGGCTGAGGTGGGAGGATCGCTGGAGTCCAAGAGTTTGAGGCTGCAGTGAGCTATGATTGCATCACTGCACTCCAGCCTAAGCAACAATAAAGAGTGATTCCCAACAAAGGTCAGAGATGTGGGGGACTAGGGAAAGGCTCCCAGATTGGCTCCTGCCACTTGCAAAACATGGGACTTCTTTCTGAGTCTCAGAGTCTCTGCCTGTAAAATGAGAGAGGGGCTTGGAGAGCTGGATGAAATCCCAAAGGACTTTTCCAGTTCTGACCGGCTGCGGCCACCTTCTCCCTCCACACAAGACAGACTCAGCTTCTTCTCAGTCCTTGAACTTGCCTATTGCAGAGTGCTTGCCCAAGCTGATCCCACCCCAGCCCCCACCACTGGAACATCACCTCTGTGCACTCCTATTGGTTTTTGTCTGAATCTCTGAACTGGCGGGCCACTCGGAACACACCAGCCCAAACCCCTTCAGGGTAGAGTCCCCTGTACAATACCCCGGAGAGGTGGGTCACCTCCATACCTCATCCACACTTCAAATCCTCCTTGTCACTCCCCCTAGTCACCTGAACTTTTAGCATAGAGTTCTTGAATGCCAACTCTGCTACTTCCTAACAAATGGCATTTGTGACAGTACCTCCCTGAATTTCAGTTTCTACCTGAGAAATGGCTGGTTTGAGGATAACATGTGATGGTACTAGTAAAGTTCTTAGCACAGCTCGTGACACACAGAAAGGCTTAATAATTCCATAAGTCACTGCCCTTGTCTGAGTAAGTTACCTTGTTTATAAAATGGGAAGAACCTATAGAACCTATCCTTTTTTTTTTTTTTTTTTTTTTTTTTGGCGCAATGATTTCTTACTCTGTCACTCACGCTGGAGTGCAGAGACATGATCATGGCTCACTACAGCCTCAAATTCCTGGGTTCCAGTGATCCTCCCATCTCAGCCTCCCCGGTAGCTGGGACTACAGGTGCATGCCACCACACTTGGCTAATTTTTTGTCTATTTTGTAAAGATGGGGCCATATTGCCCAGGCTGGTCTCAAACTCCTGGGCTTGAGCAATCCATCCGCCTCCGCTTCCTAAAGTGCTGGGCTACAGGTGTGAGCCACCATGCCCAGCCTCAGAACATATTTGTAGGGGTGATCACTCACTCACTTATTCATTCATTCATTGACTTAATGATTTTTGTAGACTACCTATTGAGTGCCCGGCATAGCACTGGGCACTAGGAGATTTGGTGGTGAAGAAAATAGATGAATTGTTCCAATCCTCATGGAGCTCCCAGGCAATTCCGAACAGGCAAGCATCGATTGCCAATGTGCTGATATTAAGAAGGAAAAAACAAAGATATTATGGAAGCTCATAACAGGATTGTGTCAGGGAGACTTCTCTGTGAGACAAGGAGCAGGGCACGGCTGGGTGGGAGAGTCAGGAGGGTTTCCTGCAGGAGACATCACCCTAGTCTAATAATTAGCTTTAATTATCCTCACCACAGTCCTAGAAGGAAGGCACTGGTTATCTCTCATTTTACTTTTCCCTGAAGATAAATTAAGTGACTTGCCCAAGGTGATGGAGCCAGGAAGGGATGAATGGTTTTTGTTTGTTTGTTTGTTTGGTTGGTTGGTTTTTGAGACAGAGTCTTGCTCTGTTGCCCAGGCTGGAGTGCAGTGGCCTGATATCGGCTCACTGCAACTTCTGCCTCCCGAGTTCAAGCAATTCTCCTGCCTCAGCCTCCCAAGTAGCTGGGACTACACCATGCCCGGCTAATTTTTGTATTTTTAGTAGAGACGGAGTTTCACTGTGTTGGCCAGGCTGGTCTCCAACTCCTAACCTCGTGATCTGCCCACCTCGGCCTCCCAAAGCGCTGGGATTACAGGTGTGAGCCATTGCACCCAGCTGCTGAATGGGTTTTAAACCCAGATTTCCTGGCTGTGGAGTCTCAGACCTAAAAAACCTGTCTTTTGCTGCCTGTTTGAGTAGGCAAATCCTGGGATATAGAGCATCATGGGAAGTAGAGAGGCTGCCTTCACTTGGATGGGGCCCAAAAGTGGGACTCTAACTTTGCCATATCCTATCCAGACACCAGTGAAAAGGAAGAGATCAAGACACATACAAGAACTGACCGAGGACCCTCAGGGTGGCTGCGGCCAGAGTTTCTCCCCTGCCCGCTACCATCCAGGGCTCTCTGCACTTCATTAGTCTTCCTGCCTAGGGTTGTGGGAGAGAAAGAAAAAGCAGAGATATTCCTTTCTAAATTACACTGGGATTTAGACCTTCCAGCCCGACCCACAAACACTCTTGCTCACTAAACATGCCTGTCAATAGGGGACTGTCAGCCTTGAATCCATGCTGGAAAACTCCCTTAATCCCTAACTCTTTCTGCTCTGTTTTCAGCCTTGGGCAACAGCTGGTACCCCAACCTCCTAAGCATTGCTGAGACCAAAACAGTCCCTGGGCATGAAAAGGATGCCAGGCTGCAGGACTGCAGATGGCTTCTCCTTCCTGACCCAGGGCAGCTGTCTCCCTTCATCCTCTCTTCCGTGCCACTCTGAGGCAGGTTGGTTCTCCCGCTTCCCTTCCTCAGCTCCTCTTTCTTCACCCCCTACCCTTTGCCCCTCCTCTGTCCCTCCCCTTGAAGGGTAGCAAAGCCTATTCTGGAGCCAGATGATGGGCATGAATTTGGCTCTAGCTCCTACTAATTGTGCAGCCCTAAACAAATTAATTTCTCTGTTACTTAGTTTCTGCGTCTGTAAAATGGGAGGAAAAAAGGAGCTAGCTCACAAATTGTGAGGGTAAAATGAGTTAGTAGTTGTAGTGTTTTGGACAGTACCAGGCAAAGAGACACTACTACATGCGTGTTTGTATAATAAATGCCTGGGTACATCCAATCTGATCAAAGGCGGAGATGGGAGATGAGCTTGGGGTATCCAGGATGTGTGGAAACCCCACCCCCTCTCATAGATTACTGCTATAATCTCCTTCTGGTCTCACCAGCCCCAGGCTGCTTCCTTGTGATCGCTTCTCTACTCTGGCTGCTGGGTCTTCTTTCTAAATCCTGATGTGACCACATAACTCCTCTGCTCAAATTCTGCAGTGGTTTCCCATTGCCCGCTGGATAAAGGCCACCTTCTGGCCCCTTAGGATCTCATCTTCAGAATTCTCCAGCCCCATCTTCCCCATCTTTCTACTCCCCTGGATCTGAGATCGACTTGCTTGAAGATATGCCCTCCAATCTCAGGCCTCCAGGCCTTTGCACTTGCTCTTTCCTCCACCTGGTGTTTCCTCCCATCCCTTTCCTCTTGATGTTGGATGTTGTCCCCTTCCCTCCCCCTACTCTACTAGGGCTGTAGCCAGATGAAGGCAGTCCCTGAGGGAGGGAAAGGGGAGAGTAAGGAAGAGACAGCAACTCAGAGCTGCAGCTTTCTCAGCTTCAAAACGAAGACAATAATAAAAGGGGACCTCTCAAGATCAAAGGAGGGGACGGAACAATACGTGAACACTCAGGAAACTGGAAATGAGCGTTAGCATGGAGTGACTGCTAAAGGGTTACTGGGGGGCCCGCCCAAGTCCCCCAGCTCCTTTCTTCCAAGTCCCCCACCCACCCATACCCACCCCCCGTCAGACCCAGACCCCTGGAGGTGAACACAGGAGAAAAACGAAGTGGAGAGAATGGGAAGGCGGCGGTGATAAAGAAAAAAGAAGGAAGTGCAGTCCGGGGGGAGATGAGAGACAGAAAGCATGGGGTTGGAGCCCCGCGCCTCCGAGGAAGGAGGGAGAGGGTGACCTGGGATGCGCCCCCCCTCCCCTGCTTCCCCATTCCCGGGGGCTGCCCCCCTCCGGCCGCAGCTCAGGAGGGTGGGGGCGGGGCGGGGCGGCGCCGAGGAGAA